TCTCAAAAAAAAAAAAAAAAAAAAAAAAAAAAAACCAGGAAAAAAACAATAAGTAGAAATAAAGTTTCCAGTTTTCAAAAACTATGATCATTGTTCCTCTAATCCTTTCAAAGTGGAACAAGGACTCCTTTTAGTATCAGAATTCCTGGACCCTAATTGGCGGTTTATTCAGAACACGACATTGAAAGCCTCTGGCAGATGTGGGTAATCACCACTGATGAGAAGATTTACCACACTTCAGATTGTAGTTCTGAATTCTCTGTATTCTCACAGAGAATAACTGCACCATCTGGTGCACCACCTTGGGCTATGTGTCAGTGATAAGAAATAATCAGGTTAATCTTAAATGTTACTCACAACCAGTATTTAGGTGCCAACAATATTAGCATTCCTTAAAAAGAAACCACAGAAGCATGAAAAACAACCTGTTACTATTTAGCAGGCTGTATCTCCCCACTAAATAAGCCAAAGGGGCTTTCAAGTAGTTGTTCACTTGATTAGACTCAAAATATGGAAATACATTGAACTCCATTTTACCAGAGGACTAATCATAATGACCAAACTAGATTACCTGAGTGCCAAAAGTGTAAAGTCGTAACATTATTCATTGCATTGGAATTTAGAACTCGTACAGGTTTGCTAAGTTGGTAACCTAGACAAATCCAACAAATGAGAATTAGCATCTTTCCTCCTATATTCTAAAACAGCAAGTGCCATCTCATTAAACAAAATAAGGATTTCACCATCATTCAATATTTGTTTTGCTTTCTCTTAACAGACTAGGACAGTAGTTTTAAAAACATATTTTAAAGGCCAGGCATGGTGGCTTCCAGCACTTTGGGAAGCTGAAGTGGGTGGATTGCCTGAGCTCAGGAATTTGGAGACAAGCCTGACCAAGAGCAAGACCCTGTCTCCAAAAACTATCTAAACGTTGTGGCAGACACCTGTAGTCCCAGCTACTAGGGAGGCTGAGGCAAAAGAAGCACTTGAGTCCAAGAGTTTGTGGTTGCTGTGAGCTATGATGATGATTTTTGAGACTCTGTCTCAAAAAAAACAAAACACATTTTAACAATAGAATCTGAAAATTAATAAGCAGGCATGAGTTAGTCTTGGATCTCTCATGCAAGAGACATATGAGCTGCTGAGCAAGCCAACTAATGAATACTTGCTTAATGATTAATATCACTTATCACAGGAGGCTGTAAGGAAATTTAAATCAAAGTAAACTTTCAATGGGACCATTTTCTTTCTTTTTTTTTTTTTTCAGTTTTTTTCTTTTTTTTTTGGCCAGGGCTGGGTTTGAACCCACCACCTTCGGCGTATGGAGCTGGCGTCCTACTCCTTTGAGCCACAGGCACCACCCCTCAATGGGACCATTTTCTAATAAAGCCACATAACCCCAAACGTTGGTATTAGGTCCTAGTCCCATCTATCTCCTATTAATCCAACTTACTGTTTCTACCTTTTTATTATGAAAATGTTTGTATGCACAGAAAAATTGGAACTAATATCATGAATACCAATATATACATACCTAAAATCAACAACTGTTAATATTTAGCCATATCTGCCTTATCTATATCCTTCAGGTTGTATCTTTTATCCAAAATGCTTAAGACCAGAAGTATTTCAGATTTTGGAATATTTGCAAATATATAATGAGATATCTTGGGGATAGGATCCAAGTCTAAACATAAAATTAATTTATGTTTCATATATACATTATAAACACATAGCTTGAAGGTAATTTTATACAATATTTTCAATAATTTTGTGCATAGGGTGGCGCCTGTGGCTCAGTGAGTAGGGCACCAGCCCCATATACCAAGGGTGGTGGGTTTGAACCCGGCCCTGGCCAAACTGAAATAAAAAAATAGCTGGGTGTTGTGGCAGGTGCCTGTAGTCCCAGCTTCTCAGGAGACTGAGGCAAGAGAATCGGCTAAGCCCAAGAGTTGGAAATTGCTGTGAGCTGTGACGCCATGGTTACTCTACCGAGGGCAACAAAGTGAAACTCTTCTCTAATAATAATGATAATAATAATAATTATTTTGTGCATAAGAATTTATAGATGAAGTTGTGTCCACTGAACCATCAGAAAGCAAAATGTCAAGTGTGGACTTTTCCACTTGTAGCATCATGTAGGCACTCAGAAAGTTTCAGGTTTTGAAGCATTTTGAATTTCAAATTTTTAGATTAGAGATGCTCAAGCTGGACAGCATGTGTATGTATATAATTCTTTTGCAAGGACATTTGAAAATAAGCTACAGGTATCAGGTCACTTCATCTAAAAGCTCCATCAGGGGCTGGGCGAGGTGCCGCATACCTATAATCATAGCACTCTGGGAAGCCAAGATGGGTGGATTGCCTGAGCTCAGGAGTTCAAGACCAGCCTGAGCAAGAGCGAGACCCCTGTCTCTAAAATTAGCTGGGTGTTGTGGCGGGTACCTGTAGTCCAAGCTACTTGGGAAGCTGAGACAAGAGAGTCACTTAAGCCCAAGAGTTTGAGGTTGCTGTGAGCTGTGATGCCAGAACACTCTACCAAGGGTAACAAAGTGAGACTCTGTCTCAAAAAAATTAAAAATAAAAAAATAAAAGCTTCTTCAGGGCTGAGCTTCACACCTATAATTCCAGCACCATAGGAGGCTAAGGCAGGAAAATCACTTGAGCTCAGGAGTTCAACATCAGCCTGAGCAACATAGTGAGACCCCATCTCTATAACAAATAGAAAAATTAGCCAGGCATGGTGGTCCCAGCTACTTGGAAAGCTGAGACAGAAGAATCACTTGAGCCTAGAAGTTTGAGGCTACAGAGAGCTATGATGACACCACTGCACTGTAGCCCAGGCAACAGAGCAAGGTCCTATCTCAAATTTTTAAATTAAATTGAATTAAATCAAATTTCCATCATAGATCTCCTCAAACTAAGAATATTCTCCTATATAACCATGATATGGGCTCGGCGCCTGTGGCTCAAGCGGCTAAGGCGCCAGCCACATACACCTAAGGTGGTGGGTTCAAATCCCCAGCCAGGGCCGCCAAACAACAGTGATGGCTGCAACCAAAAAAAAAATGGCCGGGCGTTGTGGCAGACGTCTCTAGTCCCAGCTACTTGGGAGGCTGAGGCAGGAGATTCGCTTGAGCCCAGGAGTTGGAGGTTGCTGTGAGCGTGATGCCATGGCACTCTACCCAGGGGGATAGCTTGAGGCTCCGTCTCAAAAAAAAAAAAAAAACAAAAAACCATGATATGAATATTTCTAAGAAAATTAGTAACAATTCCTTATAATATCTACTTCATATTTATACTTTCTTACATGTCCCCAAAAATGTGTTTTAGAGCTGTTTTTGCAAACTAGGATCCAATCAAGTTTCATGCATCACTTCTGTGTTTCCAATATCACTTCTGCTATTGCTAAACACCCAGCTGACATCCCAGCCCCTGAACTGTCTGTCCCCTGCCCATGTGTATACATGCTCGTGTCTGCCTGCTTAGCTTCATCCAAGTTATTCCTGATCTCAACTCGCACTATCTGCTTTTCAAGGAATAGTCTTCTCAACATGATCCCAAGACAGAAGGTCACCAAGGGCAGGGACTCCTGCTGGCTCAATGCTTTACCTCCAGCACTGAGCACAAAGCCTAGTGCATCTAGACACCCAACATAGTTCCATAATGACCAAAAATTTGGCCGAGTGATCAGTTTTCCTCTTCTCTGAAGTTCTAGAGTACTGTGGTACCTTAAGTCCAGCATTTATTTATTCATTATTTTAAATTTTTCACTATTGCTTCCTATAATGTGGTATTGTCTTTCCAAGTAAGACAGTTAATTGCCTGAAGATAGGGCTCATGTTGTACCTTCTTCCTAAAACCCTATCCTGCTTTGAAGAATGACAGACAGATAGTGACTGCAGGTACAGGAGCTGGTTCACTGACAGGTCCATTCTGGCTCTTTTTTTTTTTTTTTTTTTTTCAGTTTTGGCCAGGGCCAGGTTCGAACCCACCACCCCTAGTATATTGGGCCGGTGCTCTACTCCTTGAGCCACAGGCACCACCCTCCATTCTGGCTCTTAACCAATCCATTCTTTTTTGACCAAAGCTTCAAACATTTTTCACACATTCTGATGGTGTTTCTCAGAAACCCTACAAAAGCCCTAAAATTCCAGGAGCCTGAATTTAAAGCCAACAAGCAATCCCCAAACTCCTTAAGATTTTTTCTTTTCTTTTTTTAAAAATTAATCATTCAGGCCAGCCATGGTGGCTCACGCCTATAATCCCAATATTCTGGGAGGCCGAGGCAGGTAGATCGCTTGAGCTTAGGACTTTGAGACCAGCCTGAGCAAGAGTGAGACCCTGTCTCTAAAAATAGCCCAGCATTGTGGCGGGTGCCTGTAGTCCCAGCTACTCAAGAGGCTAAAGCAAAAGGATCTCTTGAGCCCAACAGTTTGAGATTGCTATGAGCTATGATGCCATAGCACTGTACTGGGGGTAACAAAGTGAGACTGTCTCAAAAAAAAAAAAAAAAAAGCCTCAAGAGAGCAGTACCTAAAGAGAAAGGATATTTTGCATCTGCAATAACCTGTAAGTATGTACAATACTCTATGTCAAAAAATTAAGTTGCTGGGGCAGCACCTGTGGCTCAAAGGAGTAGGGGACCGGCCCCATATACCAGAGGTGGTAGGTTCAAACCCAGCCCTGGCCAAAAAAAAAAAAAAAAAAAAAAAAAAAAAAACTGCAAAAAAAAAGAAAAATTAAGTTGCCATTAGAAAAAGCATACCACATGAACAAAAGAAAATAAAGGTCCTAGTCACAAACTGAAGTTGGAAGAGTTACTTGTAAACATCTCGATAGTGCAGAGTACTGAACTAAAACATATTAATAAGATTGATGATTGACACATACACATCTTACCTGGATTTCCAGATATTTCCTTTTCATTACCACTGTTATAGCTTAAAAATTTTACTGTAAATCTCTGTGTCATTATTCCTAGAAACAAAACAAAATAAAAATAATGTATACTGTTTCACTAGGAAAAGAAATTATCTCCTATAATTTTATTTTCTTTACCATAAAATTGCATTTTGATACACACAACACACACACAAAAGTACTATCTCTTTGATTAAATCAAAAATACCCAGAAATAAATCTACATAGTTGTATGTGCTATAATTTTGAGAATCTTGAAGAAAGAAAAAAAATACTTTAAATGGAAAGCATTCTTGTACCCTCATCAAAATTACCTTTCTGGTGGGCATTAATTTCTGCCCTAATAATTCTAACATTTATTTCACTGATTGTCTTATTATTCCATATGAAAATATAATGTTCTTCCACATTCACATTTCTGGAGGCTGATCCATTATTTAAAAGAGTTTCTGCAAATACAAGAATATGTTTATGAATGACAGACCCTCCTTAATCTCAAGTATATACTGGGTAGCTCTCTCTGCCTAGGTGGCCTTCCCTGTGCATCCCACCCTGGCCTGGCCCATCTCCAATCTTTAACACAGTTCAAGGAAGCCTTTTCTGGTCCCCCTGGGCCAGCATTAGCCACCTCCTTTATAGCATCATGGCATCCTGAATGAGATCTGTCTCTCTCCTCTTACCTCTGTATTCCCAGCATCTGACTCATAGCTAGACATAGGGTACACACCTGCTTGTGAGATGAAAGATCATAGTGAATCAGCTCCACACAAGTGAGGACCTCCTGCCCAGTTCCCTAATGTATTGCAGCAATGCCATTCACATTTGATGAAGTAATGAATAAATTTGAGAATTGTAACACATTAAAAATAAATACAAATACCATCCTTCATTAAAAACATGCTGGGTACAGTGGCACTTGCCTACAATCCTAGCACTCTGGGAGGCCAAAGCAGGTGAACTGCCTGAGCTCAGGAATTTGAGATCAGCCTGAGCAAGAGCAAGACACCTCCCCCCAACCCCATCTCTAAAAGCAGCTGGGCACTGTGACGGGCATAGCTGCAGTTGGAAGGCTGAGGCAAAGGGATTGCTTAAACCCAGGAGTTGATGCCATAGCACTCTACCAAGGGTAACAAAGTGAGACTGTCTCAAAGAAAATAAAAACAAAAAGTCCTGGTAAGATCAGCCAAACTCTACATAGCTTATTTGGCAGTATAAAACTGACAAGTTTAATTATCAAAAAAAGAAAAGCAAGAATTGAAAATGTTCTAAAGAATTCTTTATCTGGCTCAGCACAGGTTACAGCGCCAGCCACATACACCAAGGCTGGCAAGTTGGAACCCGAACCAGGCTAACTAAACAATGACAACTGCAACAACAACAAAAAAATATAGCCGGGCATTGTGGTGGGTACCTATAGTCCCAGCTACTAGGGAGGCTGAAGCAAGAGAATCACTTAAGCCCATAAGTTTGAGGTTGCTGTGAACTGTGACACCACAGCACTCTACCGAGGGTGACATAGTGAGACTCTTGTCTCCAAAAAAAAAAAAAAAAATTCTTTATCTGACAAACATTTAAGAAAAGGTTCATGAGCAGTGGTTGTCCTTGGTTGATAAGAAATAGGGAAAAGGGGAAGGTCCACGGAACAAGAGACTATGGAACTCTTATAATCTAGGACAGTGAAGGAACTGGCTCAAGGTCAAGGGAAGACAGAAGAAGAAACAAAAGAAATGCTACTGGGCTCAGCATCTGTAGCTCAAGCTACAGAGCTGGTGGGTTCGAATCCAGCCTGGGCCTGCCAAACAACAATGACAACTACAAAATATAGCTGGGCACTGTGGTGGGTGCCTGTAGTCCCAGGCACATACACCAGAGCTGGTGGGTTCGAATCCAGCCCAGGTCTGCCAAACAACGACAACTACAAAACATAGCTGGGCGTTGTGGCAGGTGCCTGTAGTCCCAGCTACTTGGGAGGTTAAGGAAAGAGAATTGCTTAAGCCCAGGAGTTGGAGGTTGCTTGAGGCTCTATCTCAAAAAAAAAAAAAAAAAATGCTACTGGGATATCTTTCTTACTGTTGTGAACCTCTTTAAATTTTTTTTTTTTTTTTGAGACAGAGTCTCACTTTATTGCCCTCGGTAGAGTGCCATGGCGTCACAGCTCACAGCAGACTCCAATTCCTGGGCTTAGCTGATTCTCTTGCCTCAGCCTTCGGAGTAGCTGGGACTATAGGCACCCACCACAATGTCCGGGTATTTTTTTGTTGCAATTTGGCTGGGGCCGGGTTTGAACCCACCACCCTCCATATATGGGGCCGGCGCCCTACTCACTGAACCACAGGCACCGCCCACCTCTTTAAATTATTTTTAAAAATAAATTTTACTCTGGAGCTGTATGTTACTTGTAAGAAACAACATATATATTTTTGTAGAAATTACATAAAAGTGTAACATTAAGGGCAACCCCATCAGGACCCTTCCAATGGTATTAGGAGCTTTTCTATCCTCTAATAAACTATCACTCCGACATCTCAGAGGAAAAAAAAAGGGTAACATTAACCTACCTGCACTGATGAATTTGTGTAGGTCATTTGCTTCCTCGTAGATTACTTTTGGTGTAACAGTGCCTAAAAAGACATGAATTAACACTTACAGGACCACATGGCCTACAATGATCACACTTACTCACTCAAAAGGAAAGCTTATCAACAAATACAGTAACTGCACCTGCTGTGTGCTAACTACAAAACCTTTCCCACTCTACGAACACCATCCGATGGGAATCCCACTCTTCTTAGTATCCACTTGTAACTATAAAGGAGAATCTCAAAATTCAGTGGTAAAAATCTGGAATGTCATTCTCATGTTAAAAAAAATTTGTAGTGGACTGGTAGTAGGAATGCAAAATGGTACAGCTACTGTAGAAAACAGTTTGGCAAGTCCTCAAAAAGTCGTATTACCTGCTTCTGAAAAGCTCAAAAAAAAAGTCCAATTACCACATGACATGATAATTCCAGTCCTAGATGCACAAGAGAAATAAAAACATACATCCAGGCTCAGCGCCTGTGGCTCAAGCGGCTAAGGCGCCAGCCACATACACCTAAGGTGGCGGGTTCGAGTCCCCAGCCCGGGCCCGCCAAACAACAATGATGGCTGCAACCAAAAAAGAGGCAGGCGTTGTGGCGGGTGCCTGTGGTCCCAGCTACTTGGGAGGCTGAGGCAGGAGACTCGCTTGAGCCCAGGAGTTGGAGGTTGCTGTGAGCGTGATGCCACGGCACTCTACCCAGGGGGATAGCTTGAGGCTCCGTCTCAAAAAAAAAAAAAAAAAAAAAATACATCCACATGAAAATTTAAACACAAGTGTTCACAGAAACATTATTTACAACAGCCACAAAGTAAAAACTATCTACATGTCCATTAACTGATGAATGGACAAAAAACCCAGTCTGTCCATATAATAGAATATGACTTTTCAGCATAAAAATGAAGTACTGACATGCTATGACATGGATGAACCTCAGAAACATCATGCAAAATGGAAGAGGTCAGACACAAAAAGTCACACATTTTGTATGATTCCATTTATATGAAATATCTGGAAAAGGCAAATGTATAGAGACAGAAAGCAGGACTGGTGGTTGCTGGGGGAGGATGGTGAGCACAAGGGTTTCTTTCTTAGATGATCAAAAATATTCTGGACCTAGACAGGAGAGGATGGCATAACACTGTGAAAGTACTAAATGTCACTGAATTATACACTTTATAATGGTTAATTTTATGTGATTTGAATTTTAGTTCAGGTTCAAAAAAAGAACTGATATGCAAGATGCTACCTTACAGAACTGATCTTTGTCCAAAGAAAATACCCTCCTCAATTGGCAGTTGAAATATTATTTACACTGATCCAGTAGAATCGATTATTTATAATCTCATGAGATCAGAGGTTATCTTAATGCTCGGATCTGTATTTTTTGGGGGGACGGGTGGGGGGCTGTTTTGTTTTTTTGAAGAACTAGAACATACCTCCTTCCACAGCACCACTCTTTATTATCACATTGATGATACCATCTCGTTCCTGGTATAGTTCCAAATCAATAATGCATTTAACATCAAAATTCTGAAGAAATGCCACTGGGGCATTCTGCATACACTGCCCAGCCAGGGACACCTGAGAGTGAGAGAAAAACCCACCAGATTTATGTCCTGTCTTATATTCATAAAAACAGATCAATGTATCTTAAAATTATGCTTCTTTACAGGCCTCCTCCTATTCCTGGTTTAGTTTCAACAATGGTTAGTATTTTGACTAGTTGACAAACTTTAGTAAAACATCTAATTAATCAAGGTCTGCAAACCACTGGTCAAGAAGTCACAATAAATATTACTTAATAATAACAAAGAAAAATCCCTTGCCCTGCTCTGTTTACTTTGCAGAGACATGATTATAATCAACTTCATTTTCTTTCCTTCATCACAATCTGATTTTTTTTTTTTTTTGAGACAGAGTTTTGCTATGTCACCCTTGGTAGAGTGCCGTGGCATCACAGCTCACAGCAACCACAAACTCTTTGGGCTTAAGCGATTCTCTTGCCTCAGTCTCCCAAATAGCTGGGACCACAGACACCTACCACAACACCTGGCTATTTTTTTGTTGTAGTTGTCATTGATGTTTAGCTGGCCCAGGCCAAGTTTGAACCCGCCACCCTCGGTACATGTGGTCAGCATCCTAACCACGGTGCTAAGGGTGCTGCCTCAACCAGATTTTTTTAATACCATGAAAATAGAGAAATGGTTTAGTCTCCCAAGTTTTCTCCTCACAAATATTTGGTACACATAATGCTGAACTTAAAAAAATAAAGTTTTCATATAAAACTCTATAGCCTTAAAATATTTCTCAAGTTTCAGTAATGTTATATAAAATGATATCTTTACAACTTGTAAGAAACTGGCTATTAAACCATCAGAAGTGGCCAAGGGTGGTGGCTCACACCTATAATCCTAGCACTCTGGGAGGCTGAAGTGGGCAGATTGCTCCAGTTCAGGAGTTTGAGACCAATTTAAGCAAGAGCAAGACCCCATCTCTACCAAAAATAGGAAAAACTAGCCCAGCATAGTGGTGCACACCTGTAATACCAGCTACTCAGGAGGCCAAGGCAAGAGGATTGCTCAATCCAGGGTGACAGAGTAAGAGTCTGTCTCAATGCCACCCACATACACACAGGCTGGTGGGTTCAAACCTGGCCTGGGCCACCTAAAACAACAATGACAACTGCAACAAAAAAGAGCCAGGAGTTGTGAAAGGAACCTGTAGTCCCAGCTTCTCAGGAGGCCAAGGCAAGAGAATCGCTTAAGCCCAAGAGTTTGAGGTTGCTATGAACTGTGATGCCACCATACTCTACCAAGGGCAACATAGTGAAACTCTGTCTCAAAAATAAATAAGTAAATAATAAATAAACAAATAAATAAATAAACTAACCAAAGTGAACCATGATATGGAAATTTACAGAAATTATTTTGGTGGTGGCACCTGTAGTTCAGTGGGTAGGGTGCCAGCCAGCAGGTTTGAACCCAGCCCCCGGCAGCTAAAAACAACAATGACAACTGCAACAACAACAACAACAACAAAAAACAACAAGGCATTGCAGCAGGTGCTTGTAGTCCCAGTTACTTGGGCGGCTGAGGCAAGTGAATCACTTAAGTCCAAGAGCTTGAGGTTGCTGTAAGCTGGGACACCACAGCACTCTATGGAGAGCAACAGCTTGAGACTCTGTCTCAAAAAAAACAAAAAGAAAAGCAAAGAAATTATTTTGGTTTTAGGCTCAGCAGTTAGGGCGCCGGCCACGTACACCAGAGCTGGGGGTTTGAACCCAGCCTAGGCCTGCTAAACAAATAAACAA